AGCAGATTCATGTATGTTACACTGGTAGACGTTGATGTAGCCTGGAGCTGCAAGCAGACATGAGGAGAGGTCTGCCGAGGTCTGGTAAGCCCACCACTTTCTACCTCCACATCCCCAGATTTCTTTTTCAAACTTGTAGTCTTCAACCCCAACTGATGCTGACTCAAGTTATTCGAGGCAGTTTATCAGATTTCAGGCAGGTCCCTCGAGCCCCGAAAGGCTTTATACAACCTTTTCTTCACATCTGCAGAAGAACTTCACAAGATCTGTAAATATACTTTGAGTCAGTGTCTGGAGATTTACCCTTTAAATTTCGGTTTAATTACACTAAACAATAGACTTTTGCTGATTTGAGACATCCATGTTTACTTGGTTTACAGGCAATTGCATATCATTGAGCATAAAGTGGGAGTTTTCAGCAAAGTCTTTTCTATCTGTAATTACAACTGGGATGGATTATTCACTTTCTTGCTGGGAGAATAAAAGTTTGACACCACTCTCATATTATAATTAGCTGAAGCTGTTCCAGGAGACGGTTAGCAATAAGTGTAGCATAATGGAAATATAAGGGGGAGAAAATTAGACTGCTCTGGTCTAAAGCATTGACTCCATATTAAGGTAATAAAATCTGCCTGCCTCTAAAGCCTCTAAAACCTCATTAATTAACTTATTTGCCAAATGAAAACACTGACATCACTGGGTTATCCATCCATTAGCTGAAGCTAATAGCTAAGTTGAAGCCACAAGACCGTAAGCTATTAGCAAACCATAAGGATAAAAGAAATGGAGAAAACTCACTCAGATTCACTAATTATCTTGTTTGCTTTCTTGCATAAGGACAGATTGACACTAACTCTGCTAACGTTTGAATTACACGAAAGCTGTCTGTGTGAGCTGAAGCTAACTGCTAAGCTATAGCCAGGAGAGAGTTAGCTTTAAGCGTAGCATAATTTAAATGGAAATGAGTAAAAACTAGTCTGCTCTGTTCAAAGACAACAAAGTTTGCCTCTAAAAACCCCCAAAACTCACTAATTTGCTCTCTTGCTGTTAATTAGATAAAAATGGACACTACCAAAGTCACTCATTAGCATAGCACAGTGGAGAAAATTAGACCACTCTGGTCTAAAGCGTATGCCGTATAATAATAGTAATAAAACCTTCCACTGAAAACCTCTAAACCTCAGTAATTATTTGCTTTTTTGAGTTAGATGGAAACACTGACATCGCTGGGATATTCATCTGTAAGCTTAGGCTAAGTTGAAGACACTAAACAAAGCTATCAGTGTAGCATAATGGGAAAATAAATGAGGACAAATTCCCATAAAATCCTTTAACCACACAAATGACCTTATTGGCTTTCTTCCATAATGTATGCTAACTTATTTGTGCTTCGAATTAGATGAAAGCATCAATGTCAGTGTCTGTTTGCTAGCTGAAGCTAACTGTTAAGCTAAAGCGAGGTGACAGTGAGCTTTAAGCGAAGCATAATCTAAATAGAAATGAGGAGAAAACTAGTCTGCTCTGCTCTATAACTCTCAAATGCTCACTAATTGACTTATTTGCTTTCTTGCCATGAGTTCGACGAAAACGCTGACACCACTGTAATGTTGTCCATTAGCAGAAGCTAACTGCCAAGCTGAAGTCAGCAGACTGTTAGTTATTAGCATAGCATTATGGAAATAGAAACAGGGAGAAATGTAGATTCTCTATCCGAAGCTGCCTATCCATTAAAAGTCTCTAAACATCACTAATGCATTTATTTGATTTGCTGCTGAGGGATAGATTGACACCGCTGTCCTAACTGTCTGAAGCTAGGAGTTAGCTTAGCTTAACTAGCCCCGTTTAGAGATGCCCTGAACCTAGTCAGAGAGCTGGCTAAGCTATGGTTTTATGAGGGGTTTTGTACCAGACTGTATCCGGAAAAAGCCACAGGGAATATGTGTGATTAATTTATAAGTTTTGGATGTGCTGGTAGGCGGATTTTGATGCTAGACAGTCCCAGTAACTCCAGCTTAGCCGTGAGTTCACCTAACAGGCATGGTATCCATCTGCTTATCCGCCACAACTTACAGCAAGAAACTAAATAAGTTCACTTCCAAAAAAAAAGTTGAATAATTCTGTTAAACACATGCAGAACTGGGTAAAGAAAGGCTGTCCCGTTCTCTCATTGTACTGCTTCCTCTGATATGACGTGAACATGACATTACATTTTGCCCAGTTTCCCAGCTTCACTGTTTCATTACAAAAGGTTAATGGAACAGCCGGACCTTCCAGCGTGACTTCGCCTGCTCAGCAGTCCGGTCCTACCTTTGTAAAGTTTTTCACATTTACCTGCCCTGAACCCATCCTGGCATTTTTTTTTTTCCTTCTTCTTTTTTTTTAAAACCACATTAGCACATCACATCAGCCCATTAGCACGACTCTGACACTGTTTATTCAAAGTCATCATATTCTCAGAGTCTTCATGATCATATGCCTGCCCTAAATTACAGCTGCTCCATCAATTTTTCATGATTGTGCTGTCTACTAAACCTAATGTATGGCCTACAGACAGACTCATGTGCATATTAATTAGAATGAAGATGACAGGACAATTATTCTTTCAGCTGAGGACAAAAACGGCCAAAACGCCTATACAAAAAAAAAAAGAGCACAATTTAATTCTCAAACAGATTTCATGTCTGTTGCCGTTAAAGGCAGCAATGCAAATACTGCTCAAAAAGATGTATGACTTGACTTAAAAAAATAAAAAAAAGGATAAGCTGCAATAAAATATGCACTGTCAGGAGCAACATAGGCAAGTGCAATACAGATTTTTTAGCCGCTCTTCACTCCAGTTCCCCCACGGCTATTAACATTTTAGAGGGCAAAGCAGCTGGATCCAAAGGTTAATGTCCACACCATTAGAGAGCGACAGAGCACACGTTTATCCCTGTTGGTTTAATTAAATTACAGGGAGCTCATAAAGGAGGATTTATCCTGAACATACAGTTACCGAGGTCCTAATGGAGCACTACCGTCCGGCTCAGCTGATTTATCCCCCTCATGTTTCAAAGTGGGTCGTCTTGTCGTGGTGTTTGTCATGGCCTACTTAACAATATAGGAACTTGTAATTAGATCGTTTGTCAAGTCACCTGATTGCTTTGCTTGTTCTTTTCATGGTTTACAGGAGAAGACGTGTCACTTTTTACTGGGTTACTCAGAAAATCATTGATCTTACCTTCTCGTGAAGAGATAAACCGGAAAAACAGGCCTTCGGTCCTTTGCCTAACTTAGCTTTAATGAGAGGTAGGCTTGTGGCAATTTCAGAGCAATAAAACAAACTGAATTCAAGCTTTAGAAATCTATATCTTAATACTTTAGGTACTATTTCTGGGTGTAAAACTCCAAACAAAATGTATTAATTGATGCCCCTGCTGTGAACAGGTAAACTGTAGCACAAGCCCTCCAAACAAAAAAAAAATTTAGGAAAAAAAATGGTGATTAGACACCCTCTAGTGGAGGATCATTACAAAAACATCAGCCCACAAACCTCCACACAAACTGCCTTTTATCTTCTGTGCTTCCAAAGCAAAGCACATCAAACCTCAAACCTAAGGAAACTCCTGAAAGCATGAATTTGAAATACGGATATTCATATTGAAAAGCTCCACTTTTGTACGATCTACATTCCTCTAGTTATAAAACAGCACATCAGTGTGTGTGTGTGTGTGTGTCAGTTTTTTTACTCCACTTCATGGATCCTTTTTCATTTCCTGGAGCTGCAGATAACCAACATCTTTTCTTTTTTTTTCTGTGTGTCAAAGAATTGTTTTGATGTGGACTGTAAGCTGCACTCCAGCACAGGACTGCGGTTCACAGCATGCAGAGTATACGTTTGACTGCAGGTGAGTGTCTGCTGGTGGAAGACACAACCTCTTGTTTCACATCCTGCAAGCTTTAATAGTAATGCATGCTTGACATGAAAGAATAAATGCCACAAATACACACAGCAGCAGTCACCACAGTATATATATTACAAAATTACTTATTACTTATACTAAGTAAACTCCCCTGGTCATATGCAAGCTTGAAAACAACATTCAAACGAGCAAATTCTGCAAATAAATTACTACATTTTCCCACTAATTCACTTGGCATTGTTGCATCTTGTCTATGTGATCAACAGAATGCAGGGTAAATGTCACATTGGTTTTGCATCTAGAATTTAATTTAATTACACATGCGTTTTTTCTACATATAACATGCAACACGTCAGCTCTGGCTTCCATAACCATCACACGCAGATGAGAAATGGTTACAATCCACTGTCTATGTTACTCATGTTCACGATTCAGATGCAGACTGTTATTTAAATGTCAAATAAACAAGAAGTCTGAGTACTTAAATCAAAGAATATTTACACCCTGAGCGAAAATCTATTGACAAAAATGTAAATGTATTGCCACAGTTTTCTTTTTTGCCTTGATGTCAGCTGTAGTTTAATGGAACAGTTTGACATTGTGGGAAATATGTTTATTCTTGCAGAGAATTAACGCTATACATGTAGCTAGTTAGCTTAGCTTAGCATAAAGGCTGAGAAAAGGGGGAAACAGGTAGTTTGCATAGCAGCACCTTTAACGTTCACTAAGTAACATTTTGCACAAAAAAAAAAATTACATTCTTATGTTCCACATGGGATCAACAAATACACATGATTCCCAAAATGTCGAACTATTCCTTTAAAATGACAACTGAAATTCATTTCTCTCTTTCTTTCCTTAAAATGCAGACCATCATGATAGGTAAATTATTCAGACGTCACCTCCCATAACTTGTAATAGTCTGTGAAGGATTGGAAAGAAACATTAAGTGTTCCGATCAATACTTTGATTCAGTACAGCAGAGTCCTACATACATACATTATGCACCTCCACCCCAATGTCAATGTCACCCAGTCAAACTCATCACTGCCATTTAGCCTGCGCTGACCTCAGTTCCCGACCCTTTACTAGCCGCTGCTAGCTTAGCCGCTTCAGTTTTAGATAAAAAGTCGTCGCCACCAAAATGGCTGCCACCCCTATCACAATGAGGATGGCCACGGCAATCCCCAGGCCGACAGAGGCGCCCTTGCCAGCAGACCGGCCACCAGACAGCGCTGTGCACAAATGAGAGTGACACCATTATGGGAAAATGCTTAATTCCAGCAGACAACAGAAGACGTTATGACTTGGTGCAGATAAGAAAACGCTTTTCATTTCTGGAGGAATCTAATTAGTGGAAACTTTGTGAATAGCTGCTCTCATGGCAGTGAAGTTAATAAATCTCATACTTACCCTCTTCTTTGGAGAGAATGGCTGCGAGAAAGACAGGAAACATCAATATTTCATTATGAGGTATGAAACATAATATTTGCCAAAATAGTGGAGAGACAAATTAAATTACAGCGAGGAAGAGGGTCAAAGCAGAAGTCAGTGCAGCAGTTTTACTATGTGTTAAAGGACATATTTGACAAATTAAAACCGACTGAAGGGAAAATGTGTTCTACATTACTTTTCTCTTTTTAGAGGTATACAATAAGTATGTATGTATTTGCCTGTAAGAAAAGTAGCACAGTAGCTTGTTTGCTATCTTGCCTTAAGTTAGATAAAAGTCTTGATACCACTCTCATGTCTGTATAGTAAATATGTAAGTAGAGCCAGTTAGCTTAGCTCAGCATAAAAACTGGGTTGAATATTGAGCCTGGCTTTGTCCAAGGTTACAAAATTAAGCCCAAAAACCTCTAACCATCTTGTTTGTTAAATCTGTGAACGAATTGGTGTTAAAAAATATTGCTTTCTAGGCTAGTGTCAGTAACTTATCAGCAACTAAACTCCAGGAAGTCGCTGCAAACCACTTGTACACAAATGAGTTCGACTGTGTTATTTAGTGAGCTTTAGAGATGTTGGTGGTTGATTTATTTTTTTCTTTATACATAATCAAACTGACGACTGCCCTCTGTTGTGAGCTTTTATGCTAAGCTAAGCAAACCAGTTTAATATTTACCACACAAACAAGGGAGTGGCATCACACTTTTGTCAAGAAAGTGAGTAACATTTCTCAAAACGTCACATTATTTTTTTTAATCGTGAGGTTCACAACCCTCTGAAGGGCTACAACAAAGGTAGCTGGACTTGTTTGAGTTTCTTTAAAGCCTGCTCTGTGGTGTTCGCAATGTCAAAAGGAGTTCTATCTTCGATACAGTGATTGAAATCTATTGGGAGCCATCATTATGGTGTACTGGTCTTTTGTCTGACTCCTTTAACAACACGTCTGTACCAAAAGAAAGACACGGTGGATACTTACGATCTTCTGTCTTGGCCTTTATAGCCACTGTGAGCACAGAGGGCTTAGTGACGCTATCCTGGACGACAGTGGTCTCCACGCTCCTCCTGTTCCTGTTGCATTGCTGTGGACGAGGCCAGATGGAGAGACATTGAGGGTCTGGCCTGAATTGGAGATTTGCGCTTGGAATGCACGTGGCGCCTCTCCTACCTTGAAGGTGTTGCAGGTGCTTTGCTCGCAGAGTCGGGTGATGCAGTGCAGATAGTAGGTGGAGATGGTCTCATTCTGCTGCTCGATGAAGCGGAACACTGGGAAGTAGAAACGAGCCTTCTGGCTATCCCCGTTCTCCAGCATGGTGGTCAGCTGATCTATGGAGCACCTTTCAATAAAAGGCGAACCTCACAAGTGCCCCAATTGCACATCACACGGATACATACAGGCAGTGTATTAATGATAGAAAGGAAGGAAGACGAAATCAAGACTAGGGCTCCCTTTGGATTTAAGAAGCTGCGGTGTGCTTATTGCATGGAAGAGAGAAAAACCCGAAGGCATGTGTAAAGGTTTAAATTTAAAGCTGGACTGCTGGACCCAGAGACAGAACTCATTATCGAGCCCTGATGGACTAGAAGAAATTCACAAGTTACAAGAAGTAGACAGCTCACACTTTTTTTTTCTTTAGAGGATGTTTTCAGGGTGTTTTTGTGACTTACGAGACGAAAAGATTAAAGAAGGTGGAGTTGGAAGGATGCGGAGACACCGAGGCGTAGCACCGGTCCAGAAGAACAAAGTACCTGTGGAGAAACAATGAGGTCCCCAGCACCGAGTCAGAGACTCCAGGTCACAGGCGGAATCCTCAAATTTAAAATCTATCAAGACTCAGTCGTGGGATTGGAGACTACGAAAGACAGAAATCATCTTTTCTTCTTCCTTTTTCTTTTTTTGTTAGATTTAAGTCATTTGCTCAGCTTTCCATACATGTAGCTGTCTATGCATTCCCAACATCCAGGACTTCTAGTTACTACACAGCTGGAAAACACTGTAAAGAAGGATAAAGAAACCTGCAAACTTATAATGAAAGCTTTCAGTTCAGTATATTTCTTTCTTACATTTCACAGGGAGGAGGTTAGTTAGGATTAGATCCTACATAGCTGCTGGACAGAAACAGAACACATCTATTGAGGCAGTGAATGAAAACTATTAAATCTGGCTCATGGATTTACATCAACAATTTTAGCTGCAAATGTTTTGATCAGTTAGGTTGACACAATAATGTTGGTAATTGCATCAACTTAATATTATGTGTAATTCAAACTTAAATGTCTGCATTAATAGATTAAATTCAAGTTGAGGTAACTTAATGAAATGGGCATGATGTCATTTTCTTCACCCTAAGATCAGGATTTGAGCACCCCTTACCTATCTTAACATGCCTGGACAATTTTACGGAGGTAATACTTGTAATTTAAAATAGATTGGATTATAGAGCTAATTCCCCAAACTCAATGTGGTGTGTCAGCGGAATATAATTTTATTTAAAAGTTTGCATAAATTAAAAAGATCCTGGCCTAAACATTCTATTGTTTTAAGAATGATATATATCAGTTTCTAAATACAGTAGTTTCAGCTTATCAGTTGACTTAAACAGTTGCGATTATTTTGTGCAGGCATGCAAGCAGCAGGCATACAACTAGAATTGATTTTGTTTCTCTCCACTATCTGCACTTGTAAGTGAGACACTAAGTTGACCTTATTATAGTATTTACCTGTGCTTCAGCTTGGTTTTCTTCTTTAGCCAATATTATGTTTTTTCATTCTGATTTAAATGTATTCTGAACATTTTCAAAAGAGATGTATGTGTTCATGTCTTTGCATGAATGACTAATATGACAGGTGCAGGCAGAATCTTTCTCTCTGATTTTGATTGTGTTATAACTGAGCGCTTTTAATCTGATCCTTTTAAAAATACGCTATTACAAATTTAAGTTTTAAAATCTTACTTGAGTAAACATACATATGCAAGTGGAATGACCAATTTGCACCCGAAGTATCAAAAGTAAAAGTAGTTGCTTAAATTGTATTGTATTTTACTTCTATTTTTATATTAGTAGGCTGCTGATATTAATGCAGCATCGTGCACATTTAATGCTGTATCTGCTTAAGGGGGCAGTTTAACTTCTACACACACTTTATAGTTAAGTGCAGGTGCTCAAAAACTAAATTCTGCTGCAATCATTTATATACTTTTTGCTGCTTTTTTTTTATTATATCTGTCATTTACATCCCTAATAATCAAACAGCTACTTAAACAAAACAATTTTAGACATTTTGGTCCCAACTAGACACTGTTTTTTGTGAAGACTCCCTCAATCTGTAATAATGAGTTACATTTTATGAGCTCCTTACATGTTTTTATGTATGCTATGCACTCTGAAATTTGACTAGTAACTACGGCTGTAAGCTAAACACAGTGGTAGGAGTTAAAAGTTCTACGAGTAGAAGTGTAAAGTAGCAGAAAAATAGCTTACTAAAGTAAAGTACAAGTATTTCAAGATTGTACTAAAGTGCAGTACTCCATTAACTGTACTTCTAAGTCTGATAAATACAGATCCAGGTCTGAAGCAGACGAAGAAAAGCTATAGAGGTGAAATAACGTTAACGGTTCTTACTGCGATGTCAGATTGGATGCAACCACCTGCACATAAACATTTTTCCTCAGTTCGATGCCCCGAGGTGGCATGATGAGGGGCATGGTGTAGTTTATATCCTGGACAAGAGAGAGAAGACGATCCAAAGTGTTCGATTAATCTCCTAGAGTTCATATTGGTGCCAGGAAGAAATGTATGCATGTTGTGTGAGAGAGGTTTAAGGTGGCACCTGGTATAAAGTCAAGCTGAGAGTACTGATGAAGCTCCCATTGTTGTCCTTCAAAGCAATGGAAGAGGATGACCTACAAGGAAGAAAGACATGAGATCACACTTTGCACACACGTGAAACGTGAGAAGGGCGAATGTGTACTTTTAACCCACATATTATAAATACACACTTACACATCCACCTGGGTGTTGTTGATGAGATACTCGAGTGGATAAGCACATGAGTAGTAATACTTGAGCTCTGCGTTGTAGGTGATGGTGCCGATGGTTGGGTCGGAGGACCGAACCACCCCGCTCACGTTGACCGTCTGGATGTTGGAGAAGTCGGAGAATATTCCCGTCCCCGGTGCGCTCGTGGTCTGAGGAATTATTTAATGTAACCATGATTATTTAAAACAAATGGTTAAAAATAAATGCCGGCCAACATCTCCCACACAGCAGGCAGCAGTGATGAAATCACATCAAGGAAGCGGAACAAGTCTCGACTTTCTCATTCTCACCACACAGGAGGCTGTCTGGACTGCGTGCCTGTTATTTTAAATCAAGAGAATACTGATTCATCTCATGCGTATCTGGGAGAAATTCACTTATTTCCATCCATAGAGCTCCACATTTTCCCCATCTTCCTGCCTGACCCTAAAACAGTGCCCACATAGCTTTTTTAGTTTCCTAAATCTGCTCTGACTCTACAGGTTAACTCGCTCCGTGGTCACCATCCCTCATGACTTGAAATCAGGACACTTGATTGATGCAACACTCACCAAGAAGGTACTTCCGCAGGCGTTTCCTTCTCTGATGGGAAAGCTGAATCTCACTACAGGAGGAGCCACCGAGGCATCCAGCGTCCCCTGACAGTCCACATTGCCCCATATGTGGTTCAGGATCAGTAAACTCTCGTTGTATCCGGTGTAGATAGCTGGGCAGATCTGAATAGCCAAGTCGATTGAGGATGTGCCGCACATCACTGCGATATCAGTGAATTCTGAAGATGAAAGATGACACAGACACTATCTCCTTTAATAAGCTGTTCTCGTCTAAACAATTGTTCAACACGCAAGAATGAAGGAATTGTGGGAATTATTTTTAAAATGTGCAGCATACAAGGACAAATATACAAGAACAGCCATCCATCCATCCATCCATCCATCCATTATCTATACACTGCTTAATCCTCACTAGGGAATGATGCTTTGTCCATCCATCCATCCATCCATCCATCCATCCATTATCTATACACTGCTTAATCCTCACTAGGGTCACGGGTGGGCTGGAGCCTATCCCAGCCTTCAATATAATTTAAAACATGCATTTAAAATGACAAAATAGACAGAAATCCATCAGCCATCAACATTAATTAACTCAGTCAGCACTCTTTGAAAGTGTGTAGATTAAACATCTGAAGTACAACTCAGCATCAGTGGCCTTACTAAAGGTCGACATGTGAAATAAAATCAATATGACCCCTTCAGTCCAAAACAAAAAAAAGTGAGATTAAAGGTCACCATCGTCTTACCAGGTCTTCTAGCGTAAGCTCCGCAGTCAGATAGGTCGAGGGCCTCTCGGCCCGCAATACACAGGAACGTCAGGATGAGGAGGAAGATTAAAGCCATCTCACCACTCTGCCCTCTGTGAAGAAGCTGAGGCAAACACAACACTCGTCAAACACAGCAAATCCTAAAATATCCAGCACACTGCAGAAACATCTGTAAGTCCGCTGAGGTGATTTTAAACTCAAACAGGTCCAAATATTAGATGTTTAATCCAGAACTGTCAGTGATGGGAACCTTGCTGTTATCTTAGCCGGGATCTTACCTCCTCAGTCTCTTTGCTGCTTTAGGATCAGAAGGCTCTGGGCTGTTTTATATATGGTAAACATGTGTGTTGAGAAAACACAGAAGCGTTTGAGGATTGGATGAAAAAGGGGTCACAGCTACTTTGGTGGGGCTGCCTCAGTTTGCAGGAACAATTCACTTTTTGTGGCTGAGGTACTGTAGACCTTTCCTGGAGGCAAATGATGAAACCCAACTCAGTCCCCTTTAAAGTTACAAATTTACACAATGTCGATCAGGCTTTGTGAGGCTGTGTGTGAAATGCAGCCCCCTTTACCTACTAATACGAAACATAATAAAGTAGGCATATGATAGTTTCTGTTGACCTGGGACCTCACACACAATGGAGGAAGGACCTAAGAAGACCTGTTGTCTTCTTAGGTGTTATTGTGACCTGGATGCTTCTTAGTTTAACAAAGGGTCATTTGTATGGTTGCTTTTAATGGTCATAATTTAAAAAAAAAATGTTATTCTCAACAAACATGCTGACATTGTAACCAACATGTATCATGTTTAAGGCTTATGAATGTCATGAAGTAAAAGATTTACATTAGAATATTTGGGTTTGTACTCGTGATTAAGTAGAAATCCACACATATTTGAAGCATCATTTAAATAGCTGTAAAAGTTGAGGTTTAACTGAGATAGAAAACAGGTGACGGACAGCTGGAAACCCGATCTTGTCAAGTGAGCCACCTGGGAAGAGAAAGCTCTGATCGGGGTCAAATTGGAGGATGGGCGTCTCTGTTAATCTTTTGTCAGACGTATGAAACCACACTTTCAAATGCGGGACACAATATCATCGTCATGACGTGTGCGCTGAAACATGCTTAGAGTCCTTCTGTCATCTCACTCACGTACGCACTCGTTTATATTCCGCGGGTCTTTACAAAATACATTTTCTCTGGGCTTGACTCACCTGAACTTGGCTTCAACATTCAAAGCCAACTCTCAGCCTCATTTCCATTTTGGGAGGAGGGTTTAATCAATTACCGCTGATGGTAAACTGAGAGGGGAGATGATAGCATTCATTCCTCTCATTTCAGTTATCTGTGGACATTGTAGATGCTGAATAAATCACAAAATGGCTGTTGAAATGAGGGATTAGAGTGATAAAGAGCAGTGAATGCGGCAGAGCCGTGCAGGTCACAAAAACAGCCTCGGAGTGCAACACGTGAGACGCAGCTGCCGCTAACAGACATTTATATAGGTCATCGGAAAAGAAAATCAATACGGCAAAAAATTGAAAGATTAATTCTGGCAGTCATCAAATGAGCTCTGGCAGTGCCTGGTATTTTGTTCATTTTCCTGAAGATTGGACACCCACGAGGCTATGACATTTGGAAAACTTTCACAGATACGCCAATATTAAAGAAGTAAACTTTACTGATCACAGTCACGAAGGAAATGAACTCAAGCATATTTGAAGAATCATTTATTACGCTTGGTCACAAATGTGGTAAAAGATTTACCGCACCCAGATTGTCCATATGTACAGACATACATGTTGAGTATTACAGTTGCTTAACACAAGTGAAATAGGCTGAATTTTACTTTTGCGTGTGCTTTTGCATATTAAGTTGTGATCTCTGTCTAAAGAATCTAATCAGCTGGCCATGATTGCTTTTTAAAACCAATTTATATTTAAAGGAAGAATTACACAGTTAGATGAGATGATCAATACCACTCTCTGTTTATGTACTATAACTAAGACAAGAGATAAAAACTGAAAACTGTCCAAAGGAGACAAAATTCACCTTTCAGCACCTCTAAAGCTCAATAACTGAAGCTATAAACCCATGAAAACCACAACTTCTTGTTTAAACACTTAAGATTATGCACAGGTTAAACAAAATAACGATATCATGCTAAACATTGAGCTTTAGAAATACTCTTTTGGCAGATTTTGTTACGATTAGACAATGCCAAGATCCCTGTTTCGAACCTTTATGATAAATTCTTGGTAAGAATCTGCTGAGAGCATAACATTCTTCTCGTCTGGGTCTCAGCATCAGGATGAAAGTTTTCTCCAAAATGGGAAAGTTTTCTTATTAAAGTGTAAATGCAAGTTTCACAGATACAAAAAGAAAGAAATTGCATAGGCAACATAATGTATCCCAAATATATTTTTTCAACTTGACAATGCAACTAATAATTTGAAACTGACTTCCAGCACAAAACAATAATTCCATATTTTTTTTATTATTTCAAAACACAGCATGATGGTGATTTGTTGTTTTCAACAAGGCTACAAAGTTATAATCTTTAGGGAGTTAAACAAAAAAAAAAAGAAAAAACAGCTGTGCTTCTCTTTTAGAAGAATAGTTTATTTTTTTCCCCTCTTTTTAAAAATGAGCCCACAGCCACAGGGAAAAAATAAGAAGACAAAATTAGTTTAAAAAGTAATTCTCATTAAACACAGCAGTATGTAAGGCTTTTCTAGGCACAATTTCTGACAAAAAAAATAGATGTTGAGGTACTGAAGGCAATAAATATATAACAACTAAAACAAAACACAAGTTTAAACCTTTGGAAAGCACAGAAAACTGGTCTGTGTGACATATTTTGCAAATATTACACAACGATGTTATAGTATGCAGATGTTTATTCATTTAAAACTCGGGTTCCAAACACCTGAGGCTGCAGCTGCTGGGAGGCGGGACTTCTGCAGGAGGTGGAGCGATAGCAGGAAGAAGCCGACGCTGACTCCGCCCAGGATGACCACACCTGAGATCAGGGCGCTGGTCACCGGGTTCATGGGCTGGGAGCGGTCACCAGATGCTGGAGGACGGAAAAGGTTGAACAAAAGCAGAAACTCAAAACAGACGAGGTCTTTGACGCGGGTTTAACATGACCTGAGTTTGTGAATTCTTCTGTAAAGAAGGAGAAGTGTAACCTATTTGTCGTTGTTGACTGAAATAATCGATTTCCATGGGTATCTGTTGTCTTTGCACTGATCTCTTGGATTTAGTCACAGGGGATATTTTGAAGCCTGTTTGTGTTTCGTAACATTGCGTAAGGGGGCTTACCTAGTTGGGAGTTGTTGACCGGTGTTTCGTCTGAAAAACAAGTGTCATTTTTACAGATTTTCACAGACACTTATTCAAGCCACAATATGACAATTTTATACTTCTTCTGGTAGATTAATCGTAGCAACTGGACTTGCTTGAGTTCATTGAAGAAGTTTCACCTCTCATCCAAGAGGCTTCATCAGTTCTGACTGACTAGTTACGAGATCCAGATACGTACATCCTAAGGAGCCATTAGATATAAGTATCTGGATCTCCCAACTAGTCAGTCAGAACTGATGAAGCCTCTTGGATGAGAGGTGAAACGTGTTCAAGGAACTCAAGCAAGTCTTAATCTTCCAGAATAACAATGACCTGGATGACTGAGAATCTTCACAGACAAGATTTTATACTTCGTTTTTCTATTCAGCAATCAAGATGTAACATCCTAAAAACCAAGCTTTAAAGGTGTTCTAGTCGTACTCCTTTTACCTTTGGACTGTGTTTCCAGTCTCAGCAAGCAAAGAAATCAGCACGTCTCCCAAAATGCCAAACTTTAAGAGTCAGTTTTTTGTTCATACCACTTCTGGTGATGATTGGACCGGCAGTGATCACGGCGTTCCCGGATGCCGCCGGTGGGGATTCAAGGCTCTCCTCTCCATCCCGCTTGCGTCGTCGCCCGCAAATCTGCCAATCACATCATCAGCTTTCAGATATCATTGAGGTCAGGAGACACACGGGGGAGTCGCCAAACTCAGATCTTGCAGCTCTTACAGGCATTAGCATGATGCAGTCGTCTGCCCGGCAAAGCTTGGTGACGCAGTGCAAAAAGACAGTCGACATCTTCTGGTGTCTGTGTTTGACGAAACGGAAAACCTCGAACGAAAACCTCCCCATCTGACTCTTTCCATTCTCGAAAACCGTCGTCTGGGGGTCTTTATAGCAGCTGCGTCAAAACAGCACAGAGACGTTATATATAGACGTATATGCAGAGAGTCAAAATGACAAATTTGATGTCTAGATTTATTCTTAAGCACTCTTTGGGAAGAAATAAGTAGCATTCATTGGGATAAGCCGTGGGAAGAGCCTGAATAGGTAATGGCTCCCTTTTGTGGTTTATCAAGTCATCATCTTGAAGAAAAAGAAAAAGCAAGATTACCCAAAGAAAAGGTCATAGCGGAGTTCATCATTAGGATTCCCTGAGGGGGTTGTGTAACAGTAGTCCATCAAGATGTTCCACCTGCAAAAGAGACAAAACTGTGAGATGGGATGGAGGATAGAGATCTAACTGCACATGGGAAAGCACAGATTGGGCTTTCTTCGCTGCAGACTGGCGCCTTCACGTAAAATAATAACATAATGGTATAATGAATGTAGACAAAGATGAGAAAATAGGACTAAAGCTGTAAAAAATGATGGTGGGAAAAGATGCTGTGGGGTACCATATCTGAAATATCATCTCTGCTTCGGTGATGTGGCTATTACAATTGTAAAAATGTCTGCTGCGTGAGCAACATTTATGAAATGTGAAAATTAGGATAAAATCAATATTCAGTAGCGAATAATAAGATGTCATCCGGTACCGTTTGTCTAAATTTGTGGCTTTCACAGCGGCAAATACTCTGGTTTTCAGAGCCAGGCCTGCCATCGGGATAGACAGAGGCTGATTGTACGTTGAATCCTGTGCAGAGAAAAGTCAAAGTGATGAGGAAAAGTGAAACAGAATGCATTGATTTTTCACTCCAAACAAGAAATTAGTAACTTGAAATTAATGGATGGGTTCAGTGTGGATGTAATGCATGTTTTAATCATAATATTCTATACTTGTGCTATTAGCAACTGGTTCAATGAAAAGGCCAACAGTGTATTAATTGGATCCCAATCCATTTTTACATACTGGAACCACAAAGCTTTTAATATCAGGTCATAAATATACATTATCATCCTCATAAAGGGGCTAAAGAATATCTACAAATAGCTGGACACTCTAGATTTTTAGAAAATATTATTCAAGCAGAAGTAAAACTTTGTTGGGGGACTATTTTCATTGGCGGATTAATACACATACATTCTCTTGTGATTTTTTACAGCACTGGGATGGTTTGTATGGGATCCAGTTAAAATTAAGCATTAGAAAACATTGTTCTTTGAAAAATATGCCATGGTTAGCTTAGGTCTTTTCATGAAATTTGTTGGAAATAATAATAATAATAATAATATATTAATAATTAAACATAGGCTCCAGCCCCCCCCGCAACCCTAGTGAGAATTAAGATAATGAGTATAGATAATGGATGGATGGATAATTAAACAAAAGCAAACATGATTCAAATATTTTAAAAATTAATTTTGATTGACAAAAATACATCATTTGAAATGGAAATGACTGCATGTAATCACACAGCTGTTTACTCACATTGTACAGGATCATACTGAGCGTGCTCACAAACGTGCCGTTGCTGTCCTTGACGGAAACAGCAGCAGAGGAGCTGTGAAGAGACACATTTGTATTTGTTTTAGTGCTTTTTTTTTTTCCGTCCTCTGTAGGTGTGTGCTTAATAAACCGCACGCTGAAAGCAGAGGTTTTAATTTAGCGTAATGAAAAAAAAACTCCAGTAATTGTATTTATTTACTTGACAGAGAGACAGGTAGGCATGTGAATTAGCATGTGAGTCATTAAAAAAAATATGCAAATAAATGCTTCTCCAAATACAATGAGACACAAACGCACTCAGGCTTCCTAACCAGCCGTCTAATTGTCACCACAGTTTTGGAAAACAATAAATAAAGCTCCTAATTAAATGAATAAATCCTAATATCAAATCCTCTGCGTAACTCTTGAAAGGTCAAGCTCTCTTTTGGACATTGAAGGATTTTTTAGCTGCTACGTACGATGCCAGCTGTGAGTTATTGACCAGGTACTCCAGTGGGTAGCTGCAGCTGAATTTATACAACAAGCCAGGCAGGTAGCTGATTATAGTCGGCGGGTCAGGGGTATCGATATAGCCTGAGACATTCCCAATTTGTACCAGAGACATGTTCCCATAGGCATTGGCCCCGTAGGCTGTGCTGACCTGCAGAGAGAAACATCTCAGCCATTCACTTTGTTTTCTCCCAAGTCGATACACAACATGCTGAAGTTGGTTATTGATTATATTAACACGGTGTTCTTGTGTTCTTTACCACCAGACTGTTCCCGCAGGCCTCCAGGGTGCTGAGACTGATGCTGAACAGGACCGCCGTGGGGAAGGTGTTGTTGTTGATGAAGCCGCGACACTGAGCTTCGCTGTGACGGCCGTTCAGGGCCAGATCTGCATCAGTGTAGCCGGAGAAGAGCACCGGGCAGAAGTTGATCTTCAAGGTGATGGTTTGGACCCCGCAGTAAACACTGATGTCCCGCTCACCTGGGGGACCAGACAGGAGGTGGTGCACAAAGAGAGGTTAACAGTACAGTTTTAACTTTACTACTTCACTTGTTACCTGATTCCTCAACTTGACAACTGCAAGGACATTTGTGAGTCCTGGTGTTTGTTTGGGGGGAACAAGTCGCGAATCGTGGCTTGTGGCTTGCAGTTTTGGTTAAACAGACCTCTGGTGCTTGAATGCTGCTGCCTTAATATCTCAGGCGTAAAGTATCTCTGAAACTTGTGTCATCAGTACCATGCTTTAAAAAAACAACTACAAAACTCTGTGCAGAGGGAAAAAAAAAAAGATTTAAATCTATACTAACTTGATCACAAACAGTGCAGCAAAGATGATTCATAAGAGGCCGAAGTTGTCAATTTTAGTCGTCTGTGAAGGAGGTCAAGCAGTTAAAACTTTTATGAATTTTAAAAAATCAATATGAAACAACTAACAGAGGTCCAAACAGGCCGAATTACAGCAGCATCTATTAAAGAAATAAAAATAAAAAAATCAATCTGTACAAAAACAAATCATCATAATATCATTTGTTATTTTCTAGATAATAGCAGATGATGTGGTTGCTTTAAAATCTGTCCTCATTTATGAAGTGTTATTTTGCCTCATCTCTATATCAAAACCACAGATAGATTTAAATTAATTCTTATTATTTTACTTATCTATTCAGGTAGCTCTTCTTCTTTTCTTGTTTTTTTTTTTTTTTTGCTCAAAGCATTCTCAGGAAAGATTTTAAGCTCTCTAAATGCTGTCAGAAATACATTTCCTGATCATTTATTTATTTCTTTATTTTTTTTTTTTAATTTTTGCAATTCAAAAAGTCATCAAAAGTTAATCGGCTTAAGTCTAATAATGTGATCACCGTTACAAAAAAAAGATAATTCTTAAGTTAAGGACACAATATCTCTATTATTCAGATAGAAGATGGCAGTGAAAGAAATATTCCAGAAATATATTTAAACATCAAAAGTAATAACGCTCCCTATTATCTCACTGATAAGTCCTCTAAAGGTGTAGCCACTTCAACAAAAGCTGATCTGATAGTTTGAGTTATAAAACATTGGTTTAAAGTCTCGTCGATGCTCTGGAGGATCGCACGGATTGCAAAGAGAAAACCTGCCGTTCAGCGTTCTCACCGGGAAACCTGCTGTGGTAGTTGGTGTCACAGTTGTATCCATTAAACTGCGTGTAGACCGAGGCGGCGTTACTCATCAGCAGGAAGATGAAGCACATTCGTGTCATTTCAGCACCTGAGAGAGGTTTGCCCGCTGTCATCTTCACAAGGTCAACATTTCATCCAACCGCATTCCACAGGTATGTCTTCTAAGAAAAACCCCAGCACTTGTCTCAAAATTAGATGTGCAAAAACAGCACTCTCCCCGTTTCCTCGACAGCTCTGACCTCTATCAAAGTAGCTCAGCCTTCTTTCCCCAAGACCCCTGGTTCTTCTTATCCTGCTCCCCTTTTACATCAGCCGCTCGTCTTGGCCCGATACCTCCATTACCCAACCCCTTTTAAACTGAGGTCACCCCTCTTTCCAGCTCATTTCACCCCTGCTCCCCTCTCTCTACACCTGTTTACCTGTCTCCTGCCTTTTCCAAAGTAATTGGCTGGAACCTCTCTTCCTCCCCACCCCCCTCCCCCACTATGGTTTGTGACGAGAGAAAAGTTCAACACTGTGGCGTGCAGTTTTTTGGCGGCATCGAGGACCTAAACTACAAACACAACGTCAGCCTTATGTGCATCTCTTGTTTGCTGGCAGATGAGAAAGATACTTCAACAAAAACCCGGTGCGGCGCAGAACATGGGAAACTCCGTCAGATCTGAATGGACTGGACAAATCTTTTCACAGCGCCAAGAAACCTGAGCGTACTCGGAGGGTTCCCACTCATCTCTCCTCGGTCTGATCTCCGTCTGTCAGATCACACAAACGGTGGGCCTCAGCAGGGGGGGCCCGGCTCGGGAATTAAGCTGTCATCGGCTGCTGCTGCGGCCCACATTCACATGAACATAAAAGTCGACTCACGGTCTGATGCAGGGCTGTGTGTGGGTAATTGTGATGCGCAAGGCATCACTTAGAGTAAAGGCATTCAGCGGTGTACACAGCTACAGCCCGGTGGTTTTTGCAGCGTTGCCGAGGGTAAAAGTGGAATTTTGAGTGTGTTTTACTCTTTGTTACTCTGCCTCCAGATAACCCACTCACCTTTGATTTTTTTCACCGCAGTCCGGCTAACAAAACAAGAGTTGTATTAATATGTTGAACATGTAGCAGGACAAAGAACCAATTCCTCTTCTGCAGATTTTAAGCTGTTTGACCTTTCAACCGATCTATACAAAGTTAAAGAGGCGTGAAGAGCGGTTTTGGAGCTTTCGAGCAAACGTTTCTTACTGTCAATGATTTCCAGAAGGACAAAACTGACATTACATTCACTGGTGTTTTCTGAGTTTACTATTATCATTATTTATACTACTGTCTTTGCAACTTGGACCACTGGATCCTTCTGCAATCTTTACAAACAGGCAACAAAAAAGACAAAAAAAAAAAAGGACCAGAAACAATACAGCAGTAAATTGTGTATTTGTTTGGGACTATTTCCAGTCATGGATTAACACACATGTAGAGCTTTAGTGAGTATTTCCAGCAGCAGGATGCTGCATGAGGAACTGCCCACATTCACGGTAATGAATGCAAAGGTAATGAACTGTAATGTGCAAAGGTGTGGCTCTCTGATGCCTTTTAATTCATTTTTGGACAAAACATTGAGCTCCTTACTGTATCATTCATCAGGCCATACTTTGCAGCAGGACCAGTCCGTGCTTGCTTTTTGTCTTTTCACAGAATTGGTCAATAATAAGTAAATTATAAACCACTAGCAGGCATTTCCTTTGTATCTGTTTTTTGCTTCTCGAAACCTGCTGTTAGAAAATAATAACTGTTATGAGCAAAGCACCAAGGAGGGATTTCTAAAAAAAAAAAAAAGAAATTCAATTTCTCACTCATTTGATTTGTAATTTTAATCAATAAAAGTGTCATTTGTAGCTGTTTGCTCGACAGTATGACCAACAACTTATTTTCTATTTTTCACATTATTTATTATCTTTTCAGTTGACGTCTTTCCTTTAAAATAGAGACAAAATATCTCTGAAGAAATAGTTTAACTGCCTGTTTTCAGATGTTTCGTGTTAAATGCTTTTGTGCCCTTTTGTCTTTGTGCATTTCTGTTTGCTGAGCAAACAGATGGTGCATTAGATGCACCTTCAGGTGGTATTGAGGTAATGTGTATGTGCAGGGAGGAGAGGTTGGGAGTGTGCACAGCTCAGTTTTGGAGGACCATCGAGAAGGTTAATCCCTATGCAGGCCGTTTTAAAGCATTTCGCAGAACTCCTACAGTGAAAATCAAGTTGTTGTTTTTTTAGCTCACTAACATGATTATGTGGTGTATTCTAAACGCAGAGACTGATGACTGTCTCTGGCGTTTCATACGTAACAAGCCTCCTGTCTACTTTCTGTATCTTTATTCTTCTTCAGAATCTTACTCCAATATTAGAAAGTGCCATTGTGTAGCACAGTGTTTCAGCAGGTCAGGGGTGAGCTGGTGTGCTCGAGCTGCACAACGGTGGGTGGAGAGAGGCAGGAAGATGTTCCTATTTTGAAGAAATCAACCGTGTAGAGTTGCATCTAAGATATATTAAGTGAGCAAGGGATTGTTTTTATTGAAACAACTTCTAAATGTGTAATTTTCTGGTGAATTTTAAGGGTTTAAGCACATCGTTGACGTTGTTTTATTCTAAGAATTGCGTACGAACTTTTCAAACTGATGACAGGTATAGAAAAAAGCTGCAGAAAAGGGCACATTACATTGCAGAATCTATACAACAAGGTCGGACGCTGTGGATTATCATACGCCTTGTATGTATGATTGTTGCTGACAGTGATTTGTATGCTGCGCTACTCCTTACAAAGTCCAGATAAATCAAATTAGACACTGGCCGTACTTCTGGCAAGCAGCATGCTCATAGCATTTCTGCCCACGTAGCCCGTATATCACACAAAACATGATTTTTGTTTTTTGCTTGGTGTAATGACTGTGCCTTATGTTCATTTCTGTATTTCTTCATCTTCATTAAGTGAACAAACACAGTTTCTTGTAAAGGGAGGGATTACCAGAAGACAGACATTTAGAAATATATATATATTTATATATTTATGTCAACAAAACAAAGTGGATAAAAGAAAAACTATTTGAATCTGATTACATTTGAGAAGTAAAACCAATAAACAGACGGGTGACAGTTAAGCTTTTGAGGGGCATCAACAAGACCAGGGACCCCCCAGTGACACTGCCTCCCCCAGTGACACTGACTCAATGTGTTACACCAACGCACAGCTTTTTAAATCGGATTATTATTATCCGTATGCACATGTTTACACCGTATACTGTTGAATTTTGCACATTCCCAGGTAAATAATTTGCACAATTCTGCACACTGTAAACATTTCTACAACTTTTGATCACTCATAAACCCACAGATTTGCGACACTTGTCGTTTATTTGACTTGTAACACTCACAATCAGAAAGGTTTTCATTGCCAAGTAGGTTTTCACCCACGAGGAATTTAACAGCAACATATAGATTAAAAAAGTGCAGCCAGTCAGTAGGTAGTAAGTGTTAGAAGACAAATAAGCAGTGTTAGAAGTCAAATTTTACTTTCAGTGTGCAGGAATATGCAAATGAATCCCCTGAAAATGTGCAAGGTCATATCATATGTAATGTAAACATCTTGAAATATGCAAGGGGATAATACTAATCCTATTTAAAGCAGCAGACCAATGACAACAGTCGCTTGTCACTGATCATCCTTTAAAAATATTCCACTTGTCAGCATCCAGTGTTCTGCACCAAAACTCTGTGTCATACTCCTTGTTTGTGAAACCTACTTGTCCCCTTAGAGAGAAGAGTCACCACAAATCAACCCAAAGTTATTACCCCTTTTCCACCAAGAAGAACCAGGTGCTATTTCCGTGCTGGTGCTAGGGCCAGTGCTTAGTTGGTTCCAACCTGGCACCTCCTAAGAGCCGTTTGCTTTTCCATCGACGCGGAGCCAAGTTAGAGCCATGCCATACATCACTGCATACGTAGCCGTTTACTGAACAACACTCACGCCACACGGAAGTCCACACAGGACTCCAGACTGACTTTTTTACCTGTGTGACCAACTTTCTCATTTGTTCGCACTTCCTACCTTGTCACAGGCAAAACATATGACTTGCTGCACATTTTCTTATCGATAGACTTTATAATTTACTGATGTTCCCCGAACACCCCACACAGCAGGCTCTGGTAGCTGCTGCTGGTGTCGCGGTGCTCAGACTGGTGTGGGACCAAAAATGAGTTTAAAAAGAGTAAGCCAGGGCATTTTAATGTCAGATTTGTCCAAGTTGAAACGAGTCATTTTTTTCTCTTGCGGTCTTTTCTATGAGTGGAATAAACAGCGCATGTAGGTGCATTCTGTTTTTCATGAGAAGACCGCATTTCTGAGTGTCAATGCCACAGTACACCTAAGTAATAAAACTACTGTTTTCCACCATTGTGGTGCTGCTGGTGGGACACAGTTGTACTTTCAGGGTGCAACAGTTTGTGCAAAACTTCTGTGTGTCCGTGGACTCACTCCAACACATTTGTGATCAGACCAGAGACGTCCTGGCAAAAAATGACACAAATCACCGCTTGTGTGTCCCATTCATTCATCGGTCTCGGTGGTCACGATAACCCCAGGCCCTGACATACTCGGTGCTTAGCTCTGGCCCAGCAAAAAGTTGGTGCCTGCTAAGCACCAGTTTTGAGAGCCTGGAGCCGGTGCTTAGGTGGTGGAAACACAAAGAAGTGCTGCTAAGTGAGGCACTAGCACAGAACTAGAACTGGAACCGGTTTGGTGGAAAAGGAGTATTAGTGATTATCTTATGAAGAAACTTTTCTATCCTGATTGTGGTCTCTTCCAGGATAACAATGTCCCATCCGTTGGGCATAAAGGAAATAGTTTAAAGGAAATGATATAAATCATATATTATGAAGTTTGCAGTCACTATTTATTTATTTTTGGACTGACATGTTAGACATCAGTCTCCACCACCACCATCAAAACAAAAAATGAGGGAAAATCTTTCTAAAAAATGCTGTTTATCCATCCTGTACAGTTCCAGAGACTTGGAGAATCAACACCAGGGAGAGCCGAAGCTGTT